ACCCTAGCTGGTCCTCCTATAAAACTGATGTTTGGGATTAATTTGAGAGGACTTCGGGAACGATTGGCATCTCTGCCCTTTTGAAACAACTTTACTCCTAAAAGTACTCTAAAAATCCTTGGTTGCACCGCCCTTGTTTCTCTTTGCCACAACAGAGGCATTTTGTTTGCACTTTTTGGATTTCGGAGCTTGCAAAGTTCGTGGTTGCAAGCTCGAGCTCCAGTTCGAAGCCGGAGTCCAGTAGATCTGCTTGACGCGCGCCCCAGTCACTGCACCCTAAAAGGTCAGTAACTGTTAAACTATCCCTTTTGTTTTTTTCTCTTCTAGTTAGAAGTTGATTTTATTTCTATCTGAAATAGTGCTGCATTTGGTTTGTGATTATGATTCAAGATTAATCTTCACATAAATAGTCTGTTACGAGCCTATGTTGTATAGCACTATGAGTTAGAGCTCGTATGTTTGTGGAAGTTGTTGTTTTGGCCAAATAGGATAAAATTTAAAACGAAATAATACATCAGTTGTTAAGTATTTACATGAACAGATTTGAGGATTAGCTATCTGCATATTTTGCCTGAATGGTTCTGTCACTTAGCCTGGATTTTTAAACAAAGGAGTTGTTCTCCTAACAGAATTGTGACTTGAGTCTCTTTTCTGTTATATAGCATGCCTATATGAATCACCATCTTTAAATAGATATTCAAAGGAATCAAACCTATATCATGTTCAATATTTACTTGAAGTATTGTAACAAATACAGACATTCTGTTGGAGCCAACATTGATTTAGAGCCTATGATTATATATTTAGTTGTCATTTTACCTCTGTAGATACTGTATAAAGAGTTGTAGCCTTTAAGCTTTTCTTTAGGAATCATGTCTATAGGAATGAAATAATAGGTACGAGATTTTTTAGTCATTTAGAAATCATGCCTGTAAGATTAGATTTTGACTCGGTTGTTTGATGAGAATTAAATCTGAACTTGCTGTATTTTTCTACAACCTTCTTTATTTAATATAGGTATTTTGTCATGATACTAAGACAAATTTAGATATAATTTTTATAGACTCAAACTTATGTTATTGTTAAGCCTTTTTCTTCGTACACCATGCTCCTGGGATTTCAAATATTTTTGTTGAAAATGCATATGTCTTATCTAATATTGAAATGCTAGTATGCACCTATATTTTTGCTATTAGGCATTGGTATCTTATATGTACTAATTTAAAAGGCTTTTGTAGAAGTAAGAAGCACCTCATGTTTGCTGGATCATTGCTCTTTAAAAAGATATATTAAAATAGTGCTCCATTTTGAAAATTGTTCATATATGATTTGCTACTGTTCTTGGGTTTCTGAACCATTGCAGAGTGAAGAAATTAGTGTCTTGTCGTGCTTCATTTTTTATTGAATTTTGCCTCTAATTTTCTTCTTCTTTCCTTTGCATATACACTTTGGAGCAAATGGAGTCCTAATTCGAGACTCTTGCAATGGAGTCTCAAAATGAGACCCGACACCCATACCCAAGCATGGAGTCATCACATACCATATTACTTAGACGCACCGGATAGCAACAAAACAAGCAAATCGCTTGGGGTCGCCTATGGTGGCTTTTGTTTTTACTTACTCTGGCTGTTTGTTGTGATTTGCTTTATTTGAACCTATGATTGATCATTTAAAATTACAACTTTAGTTTTTGGCAAAGCATTTTAAAGACTTAAAAGAATACAATGCACTCAACATTTTGTGGGTTAGTATTTTTCATATGAGACCTAAGGAAGACAACGGTTTTTTCTCCTAATCACATCTTAATAACTATATTAACATGGACTACTACTTTTCTTTGTAAAAGACGTAAGTTTTCAAGAAATGGAATTTGGCATGCCTTCTTTTTAGAATTATAGAGTTCGATATTTTGGACCTTGATCACATTGGAAGTTTATACAAAATTGTTCGTTTCAAAGTTTAATTCTAAAGGTCGTTTCTCTATTCAGTTATAAATTTTATCTAGGCGTTTAGTAATGTTTTTCTCAAAGTAAATTATTTAATTACACTCCAAACACTTTTTAATTAATTAACCTAAGTTTGGCCGGTTAACCATTTTAAACGGATCTTAAAAGGTGCCTTACCCCTTCCTTTAGAGATGATTACAATCCTTACCCATAATCTTAAGGTTAAGCAGACCGTAAAATAGAGTTAACTTTAAGCACTACTTAGCTAAAATTGGTGTCCTAATTCACCGTTAAAATAATTAGGTGGCGACTCTCTTTTTAATTAAACCTCATAACCACCAATATGTTATACTCTAGTTTGACCCGTGTTAAAATGGGGTATAACAAAAGGAAGGAGGTAACTTTGCATCTTCAAATGCATCTCTCAACAAATCTAGTATCATAGTCATTGCCTTGTCACTTAATCCACAATAGACCTTTATATGATACAATTTTATTAAAAACTCTAGCTTTGTGAACTTGCTGCCTTCATACAGTGTTTCACTTCCATCTTTGAGAAAATCATGAAAGTCACCGGAATCCTCCCTATGCCCCTCATTTGATATTTCATTTGAGTCCAATGGTTGAGATATCCCTACATCAGCCGCTCGGTGCCTATAGTGCCCAAATGCATCATTAATCATTGTTTCTATCAGATTTTCTGGGTGAACCATCTCTTGCATAACATTTCTATCTCGAGAAGGCTCTACTACATGTTTCTCACCGTGAAGATTCCAAATAACATAATTTTGAGGGAATGGCTCGCAAATCAAATGATCCTGCACTATCTCTCTAGTTTGCCACTTGCCAAAGCCACATTTAGGACATGGGCATCTAATTGTATCTTCCACAGCCGCATTCTTAAACGCAAAATTAAGAAATTTATCCAAACCAAGCCAGTATTCGTTTGTGTTCCGTGGCTTTCCAATCCATGATTTATCCATTGAAAATGATAAATAAATTAACATGAACCCTCTTAGAATATACCTCCAAAAGTAATCCTCCAGTCCACGGGTACCTTCAAATTTGGCTATCCTTCCAATCTACTCCAAGAATTTCAAATGCTCTTTCAAACAAAGTTAATTCCAGAAACTAACAGAGGACAGAAAGAACCAATGAAGAATTCCCACAAAGGACTCTGTTTATATCTGTTCGTTCATATAGCGAAGGATAACAAGCAGTAGAAAAAAAGAGGGTCAGAACTACAAACGAAGAAAAACCTAATCAGAAGAAATTTCAATATTTTCCCCGGTTACTGCTTATGGAGGATAGATGCCGCTTTCCTTGCTTAAAATAAACCGTCAGTGCTTCTAATTATTTAAAGCTTTAATAATTTATGAGAATTAATAGTATTATATTAATATAGAGAACTTTCTATTCTTATGAGTTATGATAAATAAGTGCTTTAAAGAAGGTAAAAAAGATTTAAAATTTGTGAAACCAAAAAGGTATTAATTCTGAGTGGAAAAATAACGTTTAGGCCTTAGAGATAAGAAAGAATGACTTTTGGGCACTAATTTTATTTATTTATTTTAATACTTACTAATTTTAGGATACGCTTTTACGAATGTATCTATATAAAATTAAGTATACAATTAAGAAATCAAATAAAAAATATTAAATAATATATTTAAGTTATAAAATGCAAATTAAAAAAGGGATAAGCTCTTGAAAATAATTAGATTAGCTAGATCAACATAGGAAAAATCTTGTCATATGGATATGCGGGCATATCATGTTGATTTCCTTGTTTTGTGAAAGTTATATGTTACATAATTCAAATAAAAGAATATATATATATATATATATATATATATATATATATATATATATATATATATATATATATATATATACTTGCAAGCTTGTGGCATATGAAAAAATCGTCAAAATACACGGAATTGTGTTTTAAAATGCTTTCTTGGGACTCACCTCATGTCTCGTTCGAAGCGGGACACTATCAAATGCTTAGAGCCTCACGTGTGAGGCTTAGTTCTATGAGACTTACACCTCAGTGTCCGAGCATTGTGCACCCCAAATGCGCCAAACGCTCTTCGTTCGAGGTTCGTCTAATAGTTCCTAGCGCAAATCATGCATCAAATTCCCTAATTAGCATTGTTGACACTTAAAATTCTCTAACAAATGAATGATTAAAGTTTTATTCAGCTATAGAATGTGAAGATTGAGAATAACTCAAAATAATGAGTCATAGTATTATATATTTACTAGTTGGGAACATCAAAAAGCGAGTATCATTGGAATAGCCAAAATTTACATCTTCACTTACTATATGTATACATATTTAATTCTACGTCTCTCAAATTTATAAAGGTTTTAAATTAAGCATTTTAGAACGTAATTTTCTTCTTTTAAAACTTTATTTTATAAGTTAAACACAAGTTCTAATATCGAGACGAGGCACACGCGCAACGGACGTATCGTTAGACTAGTATGCTTAAATAATGTACTGAGAGTTTGAGACTTACAAAACATAAATAAATTTTCACTAAAAATCACTTCTTAGATATATGAGGGTGGCTTTGCACAAGGTATTTGAAAGCAGTCTTTCTCTAAAGATTTCTAAATGTGCAATTCAAGAAAATAAGAGCTGTATTTATCCTACTCATAAAACACTAAGTATTGTCAATCACAAGTAGCTATCACATAAAAACAAAGAAGTAGATGCAACAAGTACTGACTTGCTAAAGAATGGGACCTCTAGATCAAGGTCTGCAACATCACAAGGCAGGTGCTATCCACTCACCACTCAGATGGTACCATTTTCACACAATGTTGGTATCATTCAGGGGAGATAAATGACAAGGTGAAGTAAAGGTCAAATTTGAGCTATTCATTATAAAGAAAGCATTTTGATATTGCCAAGTAACCTGATATGCTGATACAGACAAATACAAATCGTTTTTTAATATATCAGATACGTGATGAACTACAGCAGTATCTTCCTTTTAAATTCAGTGCAAAACATTGCCAATAGAGTAAAGAGGCTTCGTTAACTTGTATCCATAAAAGCAAAAGCCATAAATTTAAGTACTGTACATTAAAGTAAAGCAATATAAACACAAGGCTAGACAACCATTACAAATTTAAATTCCTAGAAAGCAAAAGCAGCCCACAACGAAAACATTAAGCATTAACTAAAGCAATATAAACACAAGTCTAGACAACCATTACGAATTTAAATTCTTAGAAAGCAAAAGCAGTCCACAACGAAAATATTAAGCATTTGATTGGTGATTTGCGTTGTCATCCGCCGATGATCCTCTTACATCCGCTGGTAAGTACGTTCATTCTCTGCATCATCAGGCTGAAACAATAAGAATGATATTATTCGGTTAGAACCTTATTTTGATTAATGCCAACCAAGATCGGAAAACAAGAATGAATCAAAGGTATCCCTTATCCTAAAGTTCCGAATCAAAGCCTTAGCTTCTGCAAGGAGATGGAAATTCCTTGCCACCACCTCCATCTTTAGCAAAGTTAGCAACAACTTTTACTAGAATTAGATGATATTGAACTGTATATTGTACTAACTAATTGGGCATGGCCTTGTTATCGAATGTTTAATTTTCACACCTTCTTACACCTATCTTTTCAATTATGATATCAAATGGCAATAGTAGACAGGACCAGCAGTGGGAAGACAACTCAACCCAGTAATATTAGACATAGTTAATCTCATTCACAGAAGCACAAAGGCACCTTGCACCAGGCCAATCACATATTCCAGTATGAACTAATTTTCATTGCTTTATCACAAATAACAACAGAAATATATTTGAAAAACAATGAGAATTAGTTCATGAGTCTGGTCAAAAAGACAAAAAGTATCTACTTATTAAATAAAACTGAAAATTTTTGGATATAAGACATGCTTCTCAATTGAATCAGGAACACACTTATATTTCTGTTGTTAGGCCAATTTGAAAATAGCTGAAAATCAACCAAGAACTGCAGGTTTAACATTGGCGGTTACTAATGTATTGAGTGCATCTGGTAATCGACCTACTTACGTAGCTGTCAACACTACTGGTGCACAAGGTGTTCTAGCTGAAAAACAAATAGATTTAACACATAATGTTGTGCAAGATGAGGGTCAAGAAAATAAAGATTTTGCTGCTTTGGGGAGTGCAAATGGGTCAGAAGCATTAGCAGTAGTTGAACAACCTAATCACCAATAGCAAAGTGCATCTGCCCAAGCAGAACATAGGGCTTGGACAGTTCTAAATCACTCACCTAACAATAGAAATTCTCAAGGTTCTAAAAACCAGATTACAGCATCAATGAACACCATTATTTCAAACTCATTTGATGTATTGGTTGAGGATCATGTTAGTGTTGCGAAGAAGGATGACGAGAATGTGCAACAAATGGTGGATGAGACAAGATCAACAACTGGGACATCTAAAAATACTAAAAAATCAGCAGTATGTTCATTGTGAGAGCAATATTTAGACATAGTGAATCTCTTCCACGAAAGAGCTTGATCTAATGAACTATGTTTAACAATTTTTGTTGATTTCATTTTTTTAATCACATAGAAGTACAATGCTATATATTGAACTGATCGGAAGTTGTAATAGAAGAAATACAAGCTATATTTACTCCTTACCGATGGTTGAAGAGCAAACAGACCCGCAAATTCTTCGGGAACCGAACCTTCCTTTGACATCACGTAAACCTTCAGAGCATTTAAGGTGCCTTCTAGTTGGGATTCCACACGCATAAGCTTTTGTTGCAAATGGTTATATGTTCCAGATGATGCACTGTAGCTAGATGAAGAAGCGCTCGGATCACTAACTCGTCCTTTGGTATTCCTGAATGTGTTTGAAGGAGCAGCTCCCACACCCATACATCGTACTCTCCCGGAGTGCTCTGCCCCTAACATCTTGCCAATAATATCATTTGGGGAAACTTCACACTCATTAGTATCGCATTGAGTCATATTCAATTCAATTTGTTCCTACAAGCAAATAAAATATCAATTAGTGTCACGACCCCAGTTCACCCACCATGAACATGTCATGACGGCACCTAGTCCCTACGACTAGGTAAGCCTAATAATGCGGAAAACAATTTAAAGTTGCGGAAAAATAGATAATTAAAAACTGAACAACTATATATAAGTGCCGCTCGGCATATACAACTCAATCACCACTGAAAGTCTATAACAACATCTCAAAACCCGAAAACTCACGGGAAACACAGGCTAATAGAAATGTGATATGCTGCTCTAACTCCAGAATATCTAAACAACTGGAAAAAAAAGGAAAACTATCCACTACAGCTGGAATAAGATAGAGACTCCTGGTCTGCGGACGCAGCACATGTACCTCAAGTCTCTGCTAGATCTCTCCGCCTCGGGGGTGATAAGCCTGGGTGGAGGTACCTGGATCTCCACATGCAAAAACATGCGCAGAAAGGGCATGAGTACACCACAACGATACTCAGTAAGTGCCAAGCCTAACCTCGGTCGGGTAGTGACGAGGAAGGTCAGGGCCCTACTGAGATAAAACATAGTAAATAATATGATAAGGGAAAACAGCATAGATAAAGTCTACAGCGAGAATCTAAACAAGATAAGAAGGAAAAAAGGAATAGAAGCAGAAACAAAACAATAAATGGAAATACTGCTCACAACCGGAATAATAATCGGGGATCTCTTGGTATCCCGAGGATCTCTTGGTATCCTCGTCATATACGCGAGGGATCTCTTGGTATCCCGAGGATCTCTTGGTATCCTCAATACTCATATATACATGTGCCAGGGATCTCTTGGTATCCCGCACTCTCAGTCCAGAACATAGCACGTACAGGGGGATCTCCCGGGATGTCGTCCCGTAGTCCCAAATTTAAACACACAATAACAGCCCAAACCTCGGATAAATATTAACTCAGATCAAATAATAGTAAATTATAGCCTAATATGCTTCACGAAGTACAAACAAGGCAGATTGAGCAAATAGACAAGTAAGTCAACTAAACATGCTTTTCTAAACTAGCACAAGTAAAGCTTACAATTAACATGAACAGATAAGTAAGAAAACTCAATTGAAATACTTCAAGTAAAAACGGATTTTTCAACAATTAGCTCAAGTATGCACTCATCACCTCACGTACGAGGCATTCAAATATCAATTATCATGTCCTAAGGGGAAAAGTCCCCCACACAAGGTTAGGCAAGCCACTTACCTCGAACCGGCTCAAAAATCAACTAGAAACCACGCTTTTGCCACGAGTATCCGACTCCAAATGGCCCAAATCTATTCAATTCAATTACATATTGTAAATAACATCGCAAGCAATTGATTCTACTATTTAATTCAAAGCTAAGGCGCGAAATTAGGTAAAACGACCAAAATGCCCCTCAGGCCAATGTCTCGAAATCGGATAATTTACACATTTTCAGAACCCTCGTACTCCCACGAGTCTAACCATATAAAAATCTCTCAAATCGGAGGTCAAACACCCCCTCAAAACCCAATAGTTTGGTCTATGAAGTTTTACCCATTTTTCATTCAAAAATCCAAAATTAAGGATGAATTCGTGATTAGATTAGTGAGTTTTAATCATAAGAGAGTAGAGAATCGTTACACAATCGTTGCCCTCGAAAATCCCTCGAAATTTCTCCCAAATCCGAGCTCTCAAGCTTGTGTTTTGATAAAAATGGCTAACCCTCGGATTTTGAATCATTTAATACTGCCAGGTCCGTTGTGCATCGCGAACGCGGAAGTGGACTCGCGTTCGCGAAGAAGAAATAATGACGCTGCCAAAAATACCCTTCGCGATCGCGAGACGAAGGACGCGAACGCGAAGTCCTGGGCTCAGGAAACTACGCGAACGCGACTGTGTAATGCGAACGCGTTGAGTAAAAATAAGCTAAGGCATCAGAGTCCAATAAACCTATGCGAACGCGATGGCATTGACGCGGACGCGATTGAGGAAAACACGAAGCTTCGCGAACGCGAAGGTATAAACGCGAATGCGATGAGGAAACTGGTCCTCCTCCAGAATTACTCTACGCGAACGCGTGGAGGAGGACGCGAACGCGAAGAGGAAGAAGATCAGAGCTACGTGAACGCGAACGCGAGGAAGAGACCGCGAACGCGAAGAAGGATTTGGAACCTTCAACTGCTGAAGATTTTCTACAACTTTTCACAACTCCGAAATGCTCCGTTGAGCATCCGAAACACACTCGAAAACCCCGGGACCTCAACCAAACCTACAGACATATCCCATATCATCATTCAAACTTGTACCAATCCCTAAACCACCTAAAACAACGCCGGAAACTCGGATTAATCAAGGATTTGAGCCTAAAAACTTCAAATTTCAACAAAACACGCTTTCGATAAAAAACCTAACCAAAACACGTCCGAATGACCTGAAATTTTGCACACACGTCCCAAATAACATGACGGTGCTACAGCAATTTTCAGAATTCCATTCCGACCCTCGGATCAAAAACTCACTATCGGACCGGAAACTTCAAAAACTCAAACTTCGGCATTTCAAGCCTAAATTAGCTACGGACTTCCAAAATGCATTCCGAACACGCTCCCAACCCCGAAATCACCTAACGGAGCTAACGGAACCATCAGATTTCCATTCCGAGGCCGTCTTTATACTATTCCGACTACGGACCACTTTCCAACACTTAAGCTCTCATTTAGGGACTAAGTGTCCCAAAACTCTCCGAAACCCAATACCGAACGTCTCGGCAAACCAGAATAGCAGAAATGAACTTAGGGGAAGCAGTTAATAGGGGATCGGGGCGTAAATTCTAAAAACGACCGGCCGGGTCGTTACATTTAGTAAGTACAAGATATTAAAACTTGAGATGCAAAATGTTATACAAAAATAATAAAAATAATTTTATAAAAATGCACCAAAACTATACTTACCCCTATAGTCCTTGCCGCATCATTTACAAACGATCCATTGCTTCACTTATGAGTTTCAATAAATAGTTTTCCACGACTAGGAGTTTTTCCAGTTTCCAAAAACTAAGAAAGAGTATTAAAAAGTTATTACAAAACATTTTAATTAGAGAAATAGTAAAATTATTAAGTTAATGTGCATACCAGCTCATGTCGTCTTCTCGGGATAGCTTTTGATCCACCAGTATGCGGCATTTTTTGCTTCTTTTGATTTTCTTTATTTCTTCTACAAAGCTCCTATCAACAAAACAAATACAAATCAAAAAAATTCATCTTCATTTAATTATTATGAAACTTGTTAAAATAATCTGAATCTTACCATCGTTGTTGATTTTTTTACGGTAAGCAACAAAACTAGCCCATTGATCTTTATTTATACCTGCTGGTACATTACTTAGAATTTCATTTTTGCTTTTGGCTGGGTCAAAATATTCATTCCACAACTTCTGCCTATGTGTAGCCCACTTCTTTGAAATACTAGCATTGCAATATCTGCAATGGACTCACTTACCCGAAAATCAAATCGAGGCTTCAAATAAAAAATAGAAGTTAGTTTTTTCATGTGTATAAAAATCTAAGTGCAATAAATACATATGTATGTAATAACACTTTTACCTTCAATATTGTTTCATAGCAGTCTTCCATGTACTTCTTAGGCATGCCTGATGGCCCTGACCACTTCTCAAAACTAATCGGGAACAAATTACAATCAATTGCCAACGTTCCACAATATCCAGCGAGCAATCCATGTGCTTCACCATATGCTGCGTTGTAGTCATCAAAATTCACAATGATGCACTCCCCAACAGTTAGGTTGTTAACCTCATTGACCTTGACCCTAATATGCTTGGTAGCATTGTCTGAGTCTTTAACAAGAAAACAAGTTACTCAACCAAAAAGAAAAAAATAAGATTCTCATAAATTGAAGTAAAAATACATGTAAGGCATATACCTTTTGCCTCTACTGTCCAATATTTTTTAGATTCACGACCTGGACGGCGCACAGATGTTGCACTTGAATTAGAAGGTGGAATTGGAGCTTATTCTTGTTGCGGGACTTCATGAGCATGTGGGAAAGCTTGTACTGTTGTTGAGGGCTCTATAGCATGTGATTGGACTGGAGTTGTTGATGATGAAGAATGTCCATGAGCATCATGTGAATCACGAGCTAACTTTAGTGGATTCCGAAAACGTTTAATCTTTGACATGGCTACATATTCATAAGAAAAAGAGCGAGAGGTGAGTCAAATATGAAGTGGATCTAAGATAAAGCATTCATTAATCAAATTAAAGTAGTATGTGATAGAACGAACAAAGCCAAAAGAAGTTGGAATTGACTTGTATTTCACAAATATTTAGATTTCATCGATGCAAGTAGTGTAACTTTTACGTATTTTTACATTAAATTTGTGATCAGAGTATCCCTGGCCTCCAAAAGATAAGATTAACTCAACCTTTTGAAACATCTCATCATGGTTGGCTTGGACAGTTTCAGCCATATGTTTTAGTTCTACTTCCATTACCTTGTAACAACAGAGATTAAAATCACTACGTGTCTCCATTCAACTTCAAAACAAATTGTCCTCACATTCATAAAAAAAAAAATATTAGGTGCTCTTTTCTACTGGTCCACACTACCATAGCCCCTACCCCTTGTTTTAGGACACAACACAATTTATGAAACATGACCAATAATTCTGTCAGCAACTTCTGAATACCAGAGGATTAACTAAACTAAAGGTAAGAACGCACACATACAAGCTTTAAGAGATGGTCACGTGTTAAACTACAACTGAGTCACTATTTCTATTTCTCAAGGGCGAGGAAGACGCAACAAGGTTCTCTAACATATTCAATCTTAAAAGGTTACACAAAGCATTGAGGGTGTTTTTAGTCAATAATGACACTTCACATGAAACGCATAGACAACTAGAATAAACAGTATGTTAGCTTCATGTTGCAGTATTGCAAACTAATACAATCAATGGATTTCAGAACCCTGTGTTTGATGAATTTCAGATTTTTATTTTCACCGACCCACCAACCAGAAAGTAAAAGCTCACAATCTAGGAGTTAATTGAGCATTGAACTATCGAAATCTAAGCTAAACATTATATAGTCCTGTTTGCGGGAACAGTAACTACTGTCATAAGACAGTTTAATTTTTCAAAATTGACAGATTTAACTTGACTATAAACAAGGATACATCTTATCGAATTACCGATTAAGCAAAACAAACAGAACACACTTTTTAAGGTACCCAAAAAGAATGATCGATTAATACAAACCAAACATCGGACAAATGATGAGATAAAAAGTTTTCCACAATAAACCCAATCTAGAGCCCCAAAAAGATCTGCCTTTTCTTTTAAATCCAAAATAAAATAACTACACAGAAGATCTGCTTTTTCTATTAAAACTAAAATATGCTCTACAAGCAGTGGAATCCAAGTAATTGGCAAAGAGGGCCACAGTGAATCAAAGAATTGCACGTTGTTACTAGTTGGGTAAAACTAAGCAGTGAAATTATTTACATATTTACATCCTAAATATAAAGAATAAATGTGTGTCCGCCAATCATATTGATGAAAGTAAAATAAACAAACTTCAAAAAATTAAAATACCAATAGAAAAAAGAGAACTGACCTAATGCTCACCAGGATTTCATCTCTCCAAAAGGAATAATATGGTGAATATATAGCTCTGAAAATGGAAGTTTCTAACTAAGAAAATGGGAGAAGAGGGGAAGGTGGAAATATGGAGGGAAACAATGGCGGGAATATAGAGAAGTTATTTGAGAAGTTGAGTTAAAAACGAGGGAACTGAAGAGGAAAACGAGGGAAGTGGTTTCTTTACTTTTATTCTATTTAATTTTTATTATACAATTATTTAAATAGAGCACATTTGAAAAATAGAAATAATATGTTTGGTAAAAATTATTTAAATACAATTCATTTATCTACTACACAAGAATTAATAAAAAAGTAAAGACAAAACAAAAAAATCCAAAACAACGACAAACTAAAATATACAAAAATTTATAAAATCTGTTAAATTAGATAAAAGTAACAAGTTCTAGTTATTAAATTATTTATTTAATATACATGGTGTTTAAAAGGCTCTTTTGGGGCACGTTCGGTGTTAGCCGTCCCTGGACGGGACACTATTCAAAAAGTCCTGAAGAATATGTGTGAAGCTTAGTTATGTGAGCTTACGCTCTAAATCGTCCGACTGTGCAACCAAAATACGCATAACGCTTAATGGTTAGGGCTTGCCTAATACAGTCAGACTTCTCTATAATATCATCTCTATATAACAACCATTTACTATAAAAGACCAAGTTTTTTCGGAATTGATTTTTATGTTATGTTATAATATATGTGTTTATAACAACACTTCACTATAGCAGCCAAAAAATATCGAAATAAATGAGGTTGTTATAGAGAGGTTTGACTGTAGTTCTTACTTAAATCGTGTGTCAAATTCTCTAATTAACACTATTGATGCTCATGAATTCTTTAACAAAGTTATGATTAAACTTTTATTTGAGAATAACTCAAATAACGAGCCACGTAATTTTATATTTACTATTTGAGAATATCCTGAGTGTGAATATCATTAGATTATTTTTTCTAAATTAGATAGTAAAAATTGCATCTTATTGCCATTGGTCTTCATGTCTTAAATTATCAGGCTTTTATTATTTTGCTTGTCACACCTTCTTTTTCCTACTCCCTCATAAAGGGTGTAAAGGAGTTTTTCCAATTAAAGGACAATCGAAACGGGATTCGTTTATTAAGAGATTCAGAGTCGCCACTTGGGAGATTTATGGTGTCCCAAGTCACCGGTTTGAATCCCGAATCGAGGAAAGGGTTTGACTCTGTATTACAGTCGCGAACCAGAAATCCGAGTAAGGAATTCTGTTAACCCGGGAGAAGGGGTTAGGCATTCCCGAGATCCGTGGTTCTAGCACGGTCGCTCAACTGCTATATTTGGCTAAAATCTGATTTTAATACATGTTTTAACTTATGTGCTTTTAAACCTTGGACCGCATTATTATTATTTTTTAACGAGAATTTCAACGTCGTGAAAACGTGTTTCGAACCGCGTCACATAAATGCACCCGCGATTTTTGACACATTTCGACTTCGTTGAGATTTGGATTTGGGTCACATAAATGTGCACCCGCATTTAGGAAGGTAAGATTATTTAAATTGCGTGCCTAAAGAGACTATCGCGTTATTATCTTTGGGGAAGGCCGTGAAATTCGCTAAACGGCCCATCCCGAAGTCTAAGTATTTTTAGTATAAACATTTATCGAGGGCCCTGCAATTTATTTGTTTTGTTCAGCGAGGCTCGTCTCACTTTTATTATTTAAAGGCCAAACCTAAAGCAACTATGATTTTCTATATTTTTTGTTTCTAAGAATAAAGAAAAAGTCCTAATCAATTGATATTATAAATTTCGGGCCTCGAGTTCAAGTTCGGATTCAAACAAAAGGGACAATCTCTTAATTTTAACCCGCTACTAACTCGAAAGCCCAAACTTATGCTATACTAAACTATGAATTGAGACCTTCAAACCAAGTCCAAATTAATGGAATAAGCGAGTTTGCTATTAAACAATTGCAGCTGGCAGGCCTCGATGCCATCCCCTTGAAAGGGTTAACTGGGCCTGGCGTAAGCGGAGGGTAGGCCCAGGCGGCAGTAGTACTTTAAACCAATAACGAATCCACCCGGCGGGATTATCACTGATGCATTACAAATTTTAAAACAATTGGATAACTAACTACACCTTAGTTGTGGAATTTGCCCAAAACAATTTAAACAATTACCAATTAATAATGCTTACAAATCAGTTTTGAAATGACTGGAGCGTTTTGAAACAGCTTTACCTTAATTGCTTTTGATTCCTATTAACCCACAACTACCGTTACTAAACTTAGATATTGCAACTTCAGGATTAAACTACCAAATATTAATATAGGTGAAGAGCGTGTTAATACAACTGACTTATGCTAATTACTTGCAACAATTCGAGTGTACAAATGTTAACCATAAGGAAGAATCTATCAATCAGTTTCCCAAATTCAACCTATTTGCTAACATTGAACATTAAACTAATTACTGAAATGAGGCTATACTTATGCTAATGCATGGCAAATAACTCCAGTAGCCCCTATTGTCTAATTTTAACACAACGCTAAGATGAAACCAATACTAAACCATATTAAGACTAGAAATGGATAATCACAAAGTACAAATCACACAGTCCAGTTTTCAGTTCCACTATGTAT